TTGGTTTGCCTTATGTGATGTTCAAAAATTAATTGTTGTGAATACCATACTTTAATGTGCTTGATTAAATTGCTTGGTTACTGAGATGTTTATCTCACTTCCTTAATTAATGTTGACAGGCGAGCATCAAACTAAGATCAAAGGGAAGGCCTCTGAAGCTAGAGACTAAATAGTGAATAGTAATATCTCTAGTTTTATCTTTTATGTATAATTTGAATATAATATTTTTCAACTAGAGGTCTTTCTCATTGATTTATGTTTATTTGAAGCCTACTTGCAATTGTAGCCTTAAACATTAATTTTAGGCATTTTTGAATTGTTTTGGCCATAGTAGGGTCCAAAACCTTAATTTGACTATGGTAATATGCCAAAATAGTTTGAACAAGTATATCTTGATAAATTAGATGAGTTTACATATTTTAGGTGATTATTTAACTTGAATGCAAAGAATTACATTTTCACCTCCTTATTATGTGCATTGTGGTAGTTAGGTGGTCAATTATTGTATTAAGAATTGTTTAATGCTTGTGACTGTTTATACAAGTGTATTAGCACTTATTGAGTGTGGTTCAAGCTCTTGTGTGAGCTAATGGCTTATGGTGTGAGATTTAGACACTTAGTTGATAGGTTTAAAGACAAAATGAGAAATTGTGGTCTTAGGTGTCTAGATTCTTTGTTTGATGTTGGATTGACATAAGACCAAAACATTGGCTAGATGAAATTATTGATGTATGGGTGTTTGAATCATCTCAAACGAAAATTTGAATCAAAAGTTATGTGCGTCAAAAGTTCATGTTTGGTAGCTATCATGACAAATGCTATCACAACTTTAACCACAGCTTATAAATTTTTGGTTGCACCCACAAGAGTTCTTAAGATCATTTGGCCATGGCAAAAAGAGTATTGGCCGCTACCAAATCTTCTCTAGAAGTGTCAACTATGGCTTAATGTGCTCTAGCCGCAAATAGATGCCTCTGCTAAGAAAAAATGACTCTTTTGTTCTTGTTTTAACTTGTTTTCAACCCTAAGTGTTTTCTATACTTCCTAAATACTTTTTGCTTCAATTTATAAGGGTTAAATAATCTTCTAAACTTGATTTCGAGATTAAATAATTTATAGAATTTCATCTTTACAAGATTTTCTTTTTTAACCTTATGAATTTTCAAATAGTCAAAGTTAATCCTTTTTATACAATGATATATTTTATTGTTGATTAAATTAGTTATAATTACTATGGTAGTTTTACTTTAAGGTTAAATGTGTGCTAATTATGTGTTTAAGTGGAGGTTTTACAATAGCTATTTTAAATCAACTTATTTTTAACATACATACCTACCTACATGCGTACATACATACATATATATCTATGCATGTGTGTTATTTTGAAAAAAATTTAATGAGGTCTAAAATCCAATTCGGTTGAAAATGTGGTTCAATGTTATAAGTTCCTTTAATAATTAATCATGTGAAATATTGTAGACGTGGCTCTTAAATTCCACGATGCTGCTATGACATTTTAGCATGTTAAACCTTTTCCTGTAGGCCTTCCTACAGAGTTCGCATCTTTCAATTGTCTCTTCTAAATTTTAACTATACATGATATTGCAAGTGTACAGATTAAAATTGAAAGATAATACACGAAATGTTTAAGCTTTTGAGTACCAATGTTTTAATTAATTGCGCATATAGCTAGTCAAATCCTTATCAATAATAAGTTGGCACGGTTTTAGAATGAAGTCAAGTAATTTCTGCGTCCGTTATTGTACAAAGACAATAAATGATTGGTTTGGAATCACATGAGCTTTGATGCGATCAAATTAGATATAGTGAGTCTGAGCCTTACCACTGTTTGGCAACTTGCAATATTGGAATCTAAATTAGTATGCACAAAGCCATCCAGCACCACAAGCTACCCCTTCATTCAATAATCTTGCTCCTGGCTCCTAATATGATATTACAACTATATTCTAAATTTTGCGATTACCTTTTTTTTATTATTATGTATATATATCTTTTTATTGAAAGCAATTTCATTCAAGAAACAATCATTAAATCTAAACAGCTTTGTCATTAAAAATTTAAACATTAATTTATCACATTATAAAAAACTATCTCATTTTGTTAAACTCAACTCTTGTTGGCTTATTATTACTTTTATAACAACTGTATATAAGTGAAATTTATCTTCTTACTTTTCCTATTGGATCTTCAAGTGCTAAAAAATTAAAATAAAATTATTTAAACAATTCAATTTATCAATATATATGTTTCTGCTATTAGAAACCATGTTATTTATAGAGTTATTGATTATTAATAGTTTAATTTTCCTTCTGAAAAATATCTTTAATTTATTATAAGTCTATAATTTATCCACTATTCTTTTCTAATATAAAGTCATGAATAATCATGCAAGGAAAAATATTAAGGTCATATCAAAAATCATACAATTTTTGCACCTAGAGGGTGGTTTGTAAAAAATTATAATTAAAATCTTAACAGAAAAGCTAGAGTTGATAATTCGGGTGGATTGTGCTTAATCAAGTTGGGCTTAATTCAGATTGGCTTATTTAGATTGGGTTTAAAATATTTTACTCTTTCTAAAATGCCCACATAACCAAGCTCGATTCTAATACTTTTTAAAGCTTTGGACTTATTCGAACCGGCCCAAATATCTAAAAATTTTTTAAAATATTTTTTATTTTTTGAATCAAATTTTAATTTTTAAATAATTTTGTTAAGTATAAAGTATTATTTTAACTTTAAAAGAATAAAATAAAAAATATTAATTTGTCAACTTTGTACTTAAATAATTCTGTTGCTGTTTTATTGTATTATATGTAATTTATTCATAAATATTTTCTTTACTTATAAATTAATATTTTAGTTATTTAAATATTACTCTTATTATAGTCATATATAAATATTTTATATATTTTAATTAAATTATATTATTTTAGTTATAATTAAGTTGATCTCAATTCAATTACAATTAGATTACTAACTTAAAATTATTATTCTAATTAATTTAAAGTTTTTAATAACTTTAGGATAAACTGTACTTTTCGTTTTAAGAATATGAGAAAAATAATCATTATTATATTATATATAAAAAATCATTTAATTATGAGTAAAATATTATTTTTTTAAAATTATTTTTTCTTTAATTTTTTTATTATTTAACCTTTATGTACAATGAGTTTTTACTCTAATTTATTCTTAATTTTTAATTAAAGATGGCGCAGACAATAATCAAATAATTATTTAAAAATATAATTTTATTTATTATGTTTATCTAGTAGTAGACTTGAGAATTTGTATATGTCTAAATTTTTTTTTAAAATTATTTTTATTTTTAATTTTATTTTAAAATTAATTATCTTATTTTATAAAACATATAAAATATATTTTTTTGGATACGTAAATAATGTTTAGGACTCAAAAATTTTTAATTTTAAAAAAATTGGGTCTTAAAGTATAAAAATAAATATTAAAATATATTTTAAATATTATTTTAAAATATTGTATTGATTAAAAATAATAAAAATATTAAAATGTAAATGTTTTTTTTAAAATAACTATAATAATACACTCAAATATATAGTATATTAGTATAAAATAATATAAAATTTTAAAAATTAATTAATATTTATTATATTATATATATTTTTAAAAATTATTTTTTATTTAGGTATTCGGACTAAATCCAGCTTGACACGAATTTTCTTGAGCCTATTTAAATTGGCCTGAATAGATCTAAACACTAAAAAATTAATATTTTTTGAACTTAATTTTAAATTTTTTAGATAAATTCGAGCTGACCATTTAGACTTAATTTAAATTACTGAATCTAGAGAAAGTCAATCCACACAACCATTAATTTATTTGAACACATATTTAAGGGGGGCTAGCATGCTTTTTCTAAAACCACATACGTACACACACACACTTGCATACATAGATACGCGTATGTGGGTAAACTTCGCCCACTTGCACGGACAAAAGGGGGCCACTTCCTTTGGAAATTAAGAATCTATGGGTGGGTAGGTACGCGTGGCGGAAAAGATTTTCGGTGATTAGTTTTATATGTATTTTATATCTTGAAATCAATTCATCTGTTTTCGTGTTTTGAATATATTTAAACCAAAAGTTTTATATAAAACTAAATGTTTCAATTCAAAAGCAAATTCTTTTTATTAATTTTTGTTGGATATCTTGTGATTAGTAATTTGGTAAATGTAACCAAAGCATCATGTCGAATCCAAATTTTATATTCAACTTTTTAATGGCTCTTGTTAGCAGCGAGATGTGAGTTAATAATAACATGAGAAGTAGTTCCATGTTAAGTCAGGATAGGGGGAAAAGTAAGAGGAAAATGAGGGAATAAAAAAAAAATAGGAGAAGAATTTTTAAAAAATAGTAATTTTTTTTTTTTAATTTTCTCCGTCAGTTTTTCTTGCTTGCTAATGTTTTTTCCCACGAGGGTAATAGTTTTAAGAGGACGAGAGTTTTAAGCGGACAAGGGCAGCTATCGATTTTGACTGATGAACTCAACTTGGAGGCCTCGGAAAAAAGCGAAGTTGCTTCTCAATTTCCTCCTCAACAAGTAGCCACTATTTGACTGATATTATGCACGAATCCTCGTCCAAGTTGATTAATTAGATGGTTCGTCCTTGACTTGACTACTATTAGAGTAAATGTCGATTAATTGAGTTCACGTTTTAATTAATTAATTAATAATGACAATATTACATAGATCTTGATTGTTGAACAAAAGCGACACCACTTAAACAGGACAAGAGCTAGCTAGAGCCAAGACCCACTCTAACAGTAATTATTATTAATTTTATAAATTGACAACGACGAATCTTCCCATTCTGCAATTGAGTGGCGGGTCCTTTTCGAACAAAATAGTAATGCCTTTACAACTTGCCAACTTGGTTCATGTGAACATCTTCATTAGTTTCGTGAAGGCAAGACCATGCCATTTATAGGCACAGCTATTTAACTTCAGTATTATCAAAACCAGACATTGTTCTAATCACTTTCCAAAGAATGAAGATCCTGAACCCAGTTTCTCTCAAACTCCTTCAAGTCATACTAGTTTTCGAGCTTCATCTTCTTGCTCTCAATGGTACTTGGAGAGCTACGGGTGCTGCAGTTAGGTGTCCAGAAAAGGAGAGGCAAGCGTTGCTTCACTTCAAAGATGGCCTCGTGGACAACAATGGCCGTTTGTCTTCTTGGGGAAGCGAAGAGGAAAACAGAGATTGTTGCCAATGGGATGGAGTTCACTGTAGCAACCGAACCGGACACGTAGAAATCCTCGACCTTCACGGAGAATTCGATGATTCAGGAGAACAGCAATTCGTTTTACAGGGCAATATCAGTGCATCACTGCTGGAGTTGCAGTACCTGAAATATTTGAACCTTAGTTACAACGATTTCGGAGACAACCATGTCCCAGAATTCTTTGGCTCTCTCAGGAACTTGAGATTCCTTGATCTCAGAAGTTGTTATTTTGGTGGACAAATTCCAAGCCAACTTGGAAATCTCTCCAACTTACGTTATCTTGATCTTGGAAAGATCGGTTTAGTAGGTGAGATTCCATATCAGCTTGGATATCTCTCGCAGTTGCTGTATCTTGATCTGGGAGAGAATACTCTTGAAGGCACGATACCTTATCAGCTTGGGAATCTTTCAAAGTTGCATAAGCTTGATCTTGGATTCAATGCTGCTCTCAAACTTACTAAAGAGGAGGATCAAGGTGGAGGTCAGTGGCTATCTAGTCTCACTTCTTTAACTCAACTAGACTTGAGCATGGTGATTAATCTGAATCATTCTCATAACTGGTTACAAATGATTGGAAAGCTTCCAAATTTAAGACAAGTGAGCCTTACAAGCTGTAGTCTTTCTGATGATAGCATCATTCCCTTGACACCTTCAAAATGGAAATTTTCAGATTCTCTTGCTATGTTTGATCTCTCTGACAATAGATTCACGTCATCCATTATATTCCAGTGGCTGTCCAATGTGAGCTCAAACCTGGTCGAGCTTGATCTCAGCAAAAACCACTTAAAAGGTCTTATCCCAAATGAATTAGGTAAAATGACTTCCCTAGAGTATCTAGACCTCTCTGAAAATACACTTCATGGTGGAATACCTAAATCGTTTAGGGATATATGTACCTTACAGTCATTGACCTTGACATATAACCTTTTGAATGAAGAACTTCCTACGATTATTGAAAATTTGTCGGGGTGTGCCAGACAGTCTTTGCAAAACTTGGATCTAAGTTGGAACCAAATAACGGGAACGCTACCTGATCTTTCCATATTTACGTCTTTAAAGACTTTAATGCTCACAAAAAATCGTTTGAATGAGTCAATCCCTGAAGACATTCGATTCTCATCTCAGTTAGTGACTTTGTCCATTCATTCCAACTCTTTGAAAGGTGTCATCACTGAGTCACATTTTGCAAATGCGTCTAACTTGAAGACACTTGACCTTTCTGAGAACTCACTGGCTTTGAAGTTTGGCAAGAATTGGATCCCATCTTTTCAATTGGATCAAATATTTCTTAGATCTTGCAAGTTAGGTCCTGATTTCCCTAATTGGTTGCACACTCAAAGTAACTTCTCAATACTTGATATTTCTGATGCCGGAATTTCTGATATCGTTCCACATTGGTTTTGGGGTTTATTAACACCAAATTTATTGTGGCTCAATGTTTCATACAACAACTTGTGGGGTACAATTCCAAACTCCCCGGTAAGATTTTTTGGATCCCCTGATATATCTCTAGCTTCCAATCAATTTGAAGGCTTAATTCCATCCTTTCTACGTGGTGCTTCAGTTATTGACCTGTCGACAAACAAGTTTTCGGAATCTGCCACCTTTTTATGTGATAACAGCTCAGCCGATGTGTTGGCCTCGTTAGATATTTCAAGTAATCAATTATCAGGTAAACTTCCTGATTGTTGGGATGGTTTCACATCATTAATCTATCTGGACTTGAGTAACAATAACTTATCAGGAAAAATTCCTCCTTCCATTGGATCTCTTCTTGCACTTCAAGCATTGATCATGAGAAGCAATAAGTTAACTGGGGAGTTGCCTTCCTCTTTGAAGACTTGCACGAGCCTTAAAATGCTAGATGTAGGGGAAAACAGATTGTCAGGACCTATACCTTCATGGCTTGGAGATGAATTACAACAGTTACAGATGTTAAGTTTGCGAAATAATCGCTTTTCAGGAAGCTTACCATTGCATCTTTGTTATTTAACAAGCCTTCAGCTCTTAGATCTCTCTCTGAACAATCTATCCGGGCAAATATTCAAATGCTTGAAGAATTTTACTTCAATGATCCAGGAGAGTTCAACAAATCTAATGAGTCCTTCCATGTCCAGTAACGGATCAACACCCTTCTATCAATATGATATAATTGCATTGCTCATGTGGAAAGGTGCACCACAAATGTTTAAGCATAGCAAGTTGTTGAAAAGCATTGATCTTTCAAGCAACCAAATAAAGGGAGTAATTCCAGAGGAAATAGTGGATTTAGTTGAGTTGATTTCTTTAAACCTATCAAGAAACAGCTTGTCTGGAAGAGTTCCCTTTGGGATTGGTAGGTTAATGTCATTAGAATTTCTTGACTTGTCAAGAAACAATCTATCTGGATCAATCCCTTCTAGTCTTGCTCTTATTGACCGTCTGACCATGTTGGATTTATCACATAACCAACTATCTGGGAAAATCCCAACTGGCACACAGTTGCAAAGTTTTAATGGCTCAAGCTATGAAGAAAATCTTGATCTTTGTGGAAAACCACTTTATAAATCGTGTTATGAGGAGAAAACACCTCAAGAACCAGTTGAGGTCCAAGAAGATGAGGATTCATTTATATCCAAAGGCTTTTATTTGAGTATATCACTTGGATTTATAATAGGATTCTGGGGTATCTTTGGCTCAATATATTTCAATCGTTCTTGGAGACATGCCTACTTCAAGTTCTTGGGCAATGTGGCTGACTGGATTTATGTCAAGGCAGCGCTGAATGTAGCAAAATCCCGGAGGTGACTTGGAAGCTAACTAGTGGTAATACTTATTGATCTCCCCCATTCTTGCTTTTAACCATTGCTTTCATATTTATTGGCCTTAATCTGATTTTAGACCTTTCTGCAGGAGAAAATTTCCCTGAAGTCATCTACTTTGGGCCTGGTTTCCTACGCTGGAGATCTGTCAGGGGACTAGGTTTGCTGTGTGAAAAAATGGAAATAATTTCAATATCTGATAATTAGCAATGTAATTAGTTATTTCACAGCACACGAAGCTGCTTTGGAAGTGTATGATTAGCTTTTGCACTGTGCTGTGTTATTACAGTCACATAAAGACAGTAGATTGGCAAGCCACAAAATCTTGCACAAAACAGAAAATCCATCCATTGTATTTCTAGAATGTGGTTAGAGTGTCTGCGACTTATGAACTGTGATTGGAGTAAAAGAATGCTCATATATATATATATATATATATAAACAGAAAAAGGAAATTCGTTTTAAGAACTTGATCAAAAGTCTTTCTTGTTTATACAAGGGGCATGCTGACAAACTAATGAAGAAAAAATGCAATTCAATTCACTCATCTAGCAGTGACATGCAATATTGTGTCAAGTCCGATTCTGTTTAGGATTCCAATTCAGTCTTTTCATGTAACTTTGCACTGCACTCTGACTATTTCAGCAACCTGACTTCAATCTCTCATTTTCCAGCAGATGGCTATGCCCATTGTATTCATTTGCCCGCTACACATTCTTATTCTGTAGCCATCCATGTGGTCATTGCTTTAAGAGTTCAAGATTTGATTGCCTAAAGTACTTGAATAATGACAGACCACAAATCCTATTTTACATATTCATGAAAACATGTTCATCATCTGCCCTTTGTCATAGAACGGGCAATCGACGATGAAATTGGTAAGCATTTTGCTTTTTCAAGTCAGGTTGCTGATGGACTGACTTGAGCCATATTAAGCATCAAATTTCTTGAGCTTAGAAAAAATCTCAGACTTGACTTGCAGGGGAATGTGAAGGAAGCTAATATCAGTTCATGTATATTCACCCTTCACATTCATCTTACAATGCTCATTTTCTTTTTCTATTTATTCTCTATGTTATTATGTTTTTACTCATTACTGTGATAATTTGATACTGTAAAAAAGATGTTTACGGTTTTACAACAGACTAGGTAATTTTATATATACAATGATGTTTATCTTTTTTTTTTTTTTTAAATAAGCAAAAGGTTAACAAAACACGCAATAAAATTTCTGTGGAAGAAATGAAGAAAGACTCGGTATATATGCTAATGCCTTGACGTACTGGAATAATCACAGAAGAAACTTAGAAGACAATTGAAAATTCTTTTATTCAATGTCTACTTCGTATATATATTTAAAAATATTTTCTGAAATTGAAATGTATAAAATAATTATATTTTATAAACAAAACAGAAAAATGTTTGAAATAAGATAATCTTTAAAAATAAGAAGCTCTTAAAAAGTTTAAGAAAAAAGCTCCCAAGGATTGTTTAAGAGTCTTTCTCTTGATTTTCTATCAGTAAAAATAATTCAGAAAGTATTCTCTGAAGTGATCCGCAATTCATTCTGATACAGATTACAGATTTACAATTGTTTATTCTGAAAACTGGAAACAGACACATGATTGGACTTGAACTTTCAATTTCTGAACCTGAAAGTTGCTTAATTACAATCTTCACCACACAAACATTGCTTTTCCTAATAACTAATCAAAGCTGGAGCGTGTCATTTTTGCACAACCAAACAAACATCACCCATTTCCTGCTGGTTGTTGGGGAGGGGGGAACAAACACTACTCGTAAGAGGGAATCCCGAAATTGCCCTTCAGTTGTTTGTGATCATGTTTGAAATCCAATGACGGTAATTCAAGCGAGTTTGAATAAATTTAAAAAATCTTAGAGTAGGGCTTGAGAGTTTAAAATATTTTCTTTATTCTGAACTTATTTGAATCACCTGAATAAATATGAAGAAATCCAGACCAAACTCAAATTCAAATGGATTTAGCTTGGATATTCGAATTCTTTTTTATTATTAATAAAATAATATAAAAATTAAAAATATTGTTTTTAAAAATAAAAATTGAAATTAGATATAAAAAATATTTAACAATTTGAGTATTTGAGCCCAAAAGTCCAAGTGATTAAGGTCAAATTTGGATGTATGGGTTTTTTTATACTGTAAGATACTTTTAAGTTTGATCTGAATAAACTCGACTTGAATTGAGCTTGATTCAAATAAGCCTAATGTGCCCTCATTAATTAGTGGCTCCATTGAAATCTTACTTAAATGTTTGCACAAAACATTACAGGCATACTGGAAACTTAATTAATTAGGCGTATAATGAATCTCTCATTTCTTCATCCTTCTGGAATTTTATTTTTGGTAAGTTGTGGCAGGTTGCCAAATTTCAAGTTGCAGATGTACTGACCAGAGCAAATATATTCATGTGCATTCCCCCTGTACATATATTCATCAGGAATATCCCCTGTTATGTTTTCAATCATTTCATTACTGTTAAAAGATGTATGGCCTGTATTGAGGCAGAAACACATTTGAGGTTCTAAAAAGTGCTATTCAAACGGCAACTGTACAGTTTTTGAACAAGTGGTTGATAATCATCAATCGTTTCATTACAGCACAACCAATAGCAAACAGTGAAACTGATGAAATCGTACACTATTATTTATAAGCGCACGTGATAATTCAAACTCCAAAGAAAGACAGAAGATCTTCACGCCAGTTTACCAAACCACCACGGATTTAACCCAGATCGTTCTAGAAGTGAATTATTGATTCTCTAGTCGTGGCCTTCTTGCACATGAACTACCCAAAAACAGTGAAACCAGAGTTTGTAATAGTGAATCCTCCATCCACCACAAGATTGTGGCCACTCACATACTTAGACTGGTCACTCGCCAAGTAAAGTGCCGCGTTAGCCACATCCTCGGGTTCAAGCTTTGCACCTTTGAGGTTGGAATAAATCCCGTGGACTCCCTCATCATCAAGCCTGAAGAAATCCTTAGCCAACGGCGTCGCCACCACGTATGGCGACACACAGTTCACCCGAATCCCATAGCGTCCGAGCTCCACGGCGGTATTCTTCGTCAGCCCCACGACTGCATGCTTCGAGCTCGTATAAGCATGTGACGCCACCCCGCCGGTGCAGCCACACACGCTCGCCGTTGATATGATGCTGCCACGTCGTGCAGGGACCATCACCCTGGCAGCGTGCTTGGTCCCCAGAAACACACCAATGAGATTGACGTTAATGACTTCCTCGAATTCAGATTTTTTGTTTTCGATTATGCTGGTTTTGTTGACACCGACAACACCAGCGTTGTTGAACATGATGTCGAGCTTGCCGTACTTTGAAACCGCTGTGTCCACTGCGTTTTCTATGTCCTTTTCCTTTGTCACGTCGCAGTGGACGTAGGAAGCAGAAGAGGAAGAAGAAGAATCTGTGATGCTTTTGGAAACGGAGAGACCCAGGTCATCTTGGATATCGGCGATCACCACTTTAGCTCCGTGCTGGGAGAAGAGCCTCGCAGTACACTCGCCGATACCACTTGCACCACCGGTGATCAGAGCCACCTTACCTTCAAGCCTGAAAGTGAAAGATTTGACTTTGAAGTACTTGTTAAAACTTCAAACGAATGATACATATAAACTATAAAGCATTAAACAATGAACATATTTGAACACTAGGGGAAGTTGAACATTTTTCTTTTCCTTGAATTATAATCATTGATAATATGCCAACACAGATGGGTAAAGTTGTAATTTACTGCTTACCTTCTCATGGCAACTGAGGCTAACATGGAGGCACTTCCCATGGTGGAGCTTTAGAGCCTGCTTCAATGCCAGACAATCTTCAACTGCAGGCTCTGTGGCATGCATATGCATATATATATATATATATATAATGGAGGATAAGTTGAGTTAGTACATATGAAAGGTCGAATTCAAAGACCGTGAACCCGTGATCAGGGTGTTGTGGCTATGCAGACACGTCTCTCATTTTCACTCACTCCGATTAATATCGTGTGGTCTATTTCAAATCCTTTTCATGGAAGATCGGATGATCTGAGGATGGCCCAGAGGAACGTCTCATAGTCATTGTTGGTTAAGATGTTCTCGATCTCCATCAAATGCACGTTTTTCTTTTGTCTTTTTTTACATCTAGAATTTTTAATAATAGTCTCGTGACACGTTTATTATCTTTTTCACAAATTAAATAACAAAGATGAACATGAGTACAATTGAAATACTTCATCCAATCCTTGATATAAAATATAGTTTGAAAACTTTTTTTATGTCCTGAATATAAGACAAATATAGAATAATTAATGCTTTTCCTTTTCAAATTGTTTCCTTGATCTATCTATCATTATTTAAATTCCTAAATAATAATTTATTATAGTTATTAATTAAAAAAAGTAAAAATGAAAAGTTATATACTATATAATTTTAAACTTATAACTATTTTTTTTAATAAGGAGTGTTTTTGTTAACTTTACCTTATATTAATGATAGAAGAGAATCAATGCTTACATGTTTTTTAACAAATAAATCCATGATATAATTTTTCTTAACTTACATGAATAAATTTAAATTGTGTGTTTGAGTTTTTTTTTTGGGTGTTTAAATATAAATATAAGATTAAGACAAGTGTATCAATACTCCCTTCAGTCCTAAGAACGGAGAAGCAACTCCCTCTGATCTGTCCTTATCTATGAAGTGCATAAGATTAAGATTAAGGCAAGTGCACCAAATCCTTGATACACCCTTCAGTTCTAAACGTAGAAGCCACTCCCTCTGTCCTTATCTATGAAGTGTATAAGATTAAGGCAAAGTGTACCAAATCCTTGATACTCCCTTCAGTCCTAATTCTAAACGCCTCTGTCCTTATGTTTGTATGAGTGTCCAAATATTTAATCCCATAAAAGTTTCAGAAAAAATAAAAGAAGCATAATATACCTTAGATGCAGTTATATAATATTTCTTCCTATTCTACTTATAACATAGAGAGTAAATAGTTTTTGTCCTATTTATAAATTATGTCATAAAAATTTTTATCATAAATTTTCTCTTTTATTCTTTATTAACAATTTATACATGTATGCTCCTTTCATTTAAAAATATAAAAAACTTTTTTAGGTTAGATATTAAAAAATATAAGATATTTTTAATTTTTATTATATAATTAATTGGTTTTTTTCTAAAAATATCTTTAATAAATAAATCATTTAGCTACAAGAAAGACACTATATTAAATAAGAACAAGTATTAAAAGACGATATCAATTTAAAAATTATTTGTTTA